CAAAAAAAAAAAAAAAAAAAAAAAAAAAAAGATAGGTTTCTAACAGATTGAGAGTGGTATATGCTAGAAACATTTAACAGCAGCTTTCCAGGACACAGATGTGCCATGCTCATTCATAGGCTTATTATTAAATTTACTTGTGTAAAGGTTGTATAACACATAATTTATACACAATACAGAAATATACACTATTCTTTATTATCAGTGCCATGCAGCCAGCCCTGTCTCATAGAAAGGTTTCGCTGACTTTTGCCATTTTCTGTGGCTGGGCTGGGCCGCGGCTGAACTGTAAGCGCAGAGTTGGCGTGGATGTGAGTGGATATTTTCACTTACATTAAGGAGTGAATCAAAGAGAAATGAGATGTCTGTTAAGACCTCAGCCTCAGTCAATGGTGTGAGTGGCTTCTGCTCAGTTGGGTAGGGAATGGTTATAAACCTTCAGAAGTCTCAAGTCTTTGTTATTCACCTTGAGTGTTAAGTCAAGAAAATCAACAAAACAAACAGACCCAGGTAGCATTTGACTTCCTGCGTATCCCCACTCCCACCAAGCCCAGGTTCAAATTGCCAGCATGAAATGGCTGTCCCTGGGCTTGGCAGTCACACAGCACCGCCACCTCACGGACACCAGGGACGCGTGGAACCACAGTGTGGCTAATACCAGAATCCAGTAGAAGTAATTAGGAGCCAATGGAATCTGTCTATGACCTTTGTTTTTAATGTCATTCACTGTCTTGTATTTTTATAATTTAATGTTAGAGCAATTTATTTCATTTTGTTTTTTTGAGACAGAGTCTCACTATGTAGTTTAGGCTGGTCTTAAACTCACTGTGGCTTTGAACTCAGTGATCCTCCTGCCTCCGCTTCCAGGAGTGCTGGGATAAGTGGTGTGCACCACCCTGCCTGGCTATTAATTCATTTTATATAGTTTTTATAATTTCATTTTGAAGAAGGACGTGCTGATCTCCCAGCTCATAAAATTCCTGAAAACTGGAATCTTCCAATGGCTTTTGCAAACTGGCGTGAGCTTCTGCAGCACCATGCTGGCTGAGCAGTGGAATAACTCATCTCTAAGATGCAGGGAGGGGAGAGGCCTGCTGGCTTGGCTGATGCCCCACGGAGAACCTAGGGTTTTCCCAACTGTAGAGACCTGGGGCCCACTGCATGCTTGGCACAAGGAAAGGGGAGCCCTGCATGAGACCTTCTAACAGTGATCAGGTCCCCAGCCCACAACTGCTGGCCCAGTTCTCTTGGGAGCTTCGTTGTCTCTACTCTGCCCACCTTGACCCTGAGCTGGGAGGCACAGCCAGAACAG